CTTAATGTAATAAAATGCTTCTATGCAGCACCACTATCTACGACAAAGAAAGTTTTTAAAAATATATATATCTTTATTGATTTCAGAGAGGAATGGAGAGGGGGGGAGAGATAGAAACATCAATGATAAGAGAGTCGTTATTGATCGGCTGCCTCCTGCACGCAGCTGACCGGGGATCGAGCCCGCAACCCAGACATGTGCCCCGACCAGGCATTGAACAGTAATCTCCTGGATCCTAGGTCAATAGTCAACTGCTGAGCCACGCCGGCCGGGCCAAAGCTAACTTTTACATTAGTGAATCCACTATCTGAAATCATTCCTGTTATCTTTATATTGTCATGGAATCTCAAAAAGACATGTGTACCACATGAAATGAAAATTCTAAAGTACATTTGGTTGGCAAAGACAGCCAGACACCACAGAAATGACATTAGTTTTGACATAAAAGTCAATGAGGTATTAGTTTTGACGTCAAATGTCAAAAGAAAATTTAGCTCAGCCTTCAAACCAATATTTAATTGTTATGTCATCTACTCATCTATACTATCCACATCTTTCACATGCAGCAAATGCAATCTGTACAACTCTCAACTTAGCAGTTTACTAAGAACCTCTGGTTTACGGATAATTTCCTCTGTCCTGCACAGCTCCAATATGACTCATCTTTGAAATGGCCTGGACCACACACAGGTCTCCTGACCTCCTGTGTACAGGGGGTCTATGTCACACAATGGATCCACATGTCAGGGTTATTGTGTCTTCCATCACATGGAATGCAGCCATCACATGGGATGGTGCCGCTGTGTGCCAGACAGAGGGGACTGTCTCCTCTTCCTCCTCTTCTCCCAACAAGGTCTGACGCTTTTCAGCAAAGCTTGACATTCCTGCTTAGGTGGCCATGGTGGCTCCATGCAGTCGACACTGAACCTCACTTTACTAAATGTCATTTACTGAATCGAACCAGGAAGAAGAACCACAGTGCTCTGGCTTCAGTGCTCTTGTGACCATCTGATGTGTCTTCCTCCCTGCAGAGAGTATGGAGGGCAGGGACTTCGAAGTAGGTACAGCCATACTCCAGCCAGTTGCCCAGGGTCTGGCCCCAGTGCCTTGAAGGGACAATGACAGTGACAGCAGTGCAGACAAGAGGTGGAGCAGCAACAGGCACAGCCGGCAGTTCCACACCTGGAGGGAGGAGTACTCACTCTGACCATTCCCCGCCAGTGCTCTCCTAGAGGCAAGGCTAAGCAGAGCCTACCAGATATAGAACTATCCTGATTTCAGGCACTCTCCCTTCACAACACTCTCCTGAGAACACACACACACACACAGGCCCCAATCCATTCTGCACAATGGACTTCTTCACCCCTGAGGGTTAAGGTGAACACAGCTTCAAGCCACTATCTCACCAGACCCGTTTTGAAAGTAAGGAACCTAAGGTTTAGACATGTCGAGCAATTTTTCCTTTGCCCCACAGCTGAACCAACCACAAGGCAGCTCTGGAGAGAGAATGAGTCTACTGAGTGCTGGTTCGATCCTTTTTGTCATATGGTTTCTCTCTCAAACGCTGACCAAACAAGGGTGAGATATTTCACAAGACATCTTTTAAAAACACCTAGAAGCTGCAGGCAGCCCAGATTATGGAAAATGTAAGTAAATTCTGTCCAGTAATTTACTGATTCCTAAGCACAAGCACAGTAAAATCAGCTGACATGGCCCAATTGTGGAGGCAGTGCATTTTGTGACTAGCTCCCGACAAGTGGAACGAAAGTTCAGAGGGATGAGAGGGCACACGACACAATGAAAATAGAGGATCAGCTCTATCCCACCTCTGGCACCCCCTCAGCCCAACTGTCCTTACATGGCAGCAGCTTGGGGACATTCCTGAGACCTCTATCCCCTACCACCCCACAGGGCCTCCCCGTCCTGTCTACCTGCTCAGACCCAGTCTAAAGCCCCAGACCCCAAAGCCAGGCACATTTCCCACAGAGAAGCACTGGAAGCACATTATGCACGGCCTGCAGGGCCTTGTTGTGAAGGCATCGTTGTGGTGTTTGCTGTGCTGAGGCAGGCACTGGTATTATCCCCTTTATAGACAAAGAAATTGAGATGCACTAGTTCACTCAGAATTGAACTGCCAAACAGGGAAGGGCATCTAGGGGTTCTGTCTCCTGGTCCATGTTCTCACAGATCTGTGAATTCTGGTTTTCAGTTTCAAATGCACCCTCAGTCACTCTGGGCAGCATGGTAGGGCTGCAGGAACATTTGTTTTGGCATCAAGCAGAGCCACTGGTTTCTCATCTGCAGCTTACCTTCTGTTTAGGTTAAGCACATTATTTAAAGAACAAACCAGTTTCTGCACCTTTTAAAAGTAAAGTAACAAAGATGCAAGATGCCTAGAGCAGGCCCTAAATCTTAGCAATTTTCCCTTTACCAGTTCAAGATGATTTCAAAATTATACTAGAACATTATTTTTCATTGAAGTTGACAAGAGAGTCTGTTTTTATGGAAAAGAAAACACAGGAAGCAAAACAAGGAGGATTTCCCTTTCTCTAGTCTTCTCCAAACTCACTGCAAGGTTCTCACAACTAAAAGCCGGTAAGAGCAGTAAGTAATCAACCAAAGGAACCTCCAATGACTAGACTGTGATTATTCCTTAAGCATAACAGAAATTCTATTTTTCTGAAGAGAAATACAAAAAACGTTAGTACAGGAAGTTTTCGCTTAACATTGTTGATAAATTTTGTGACTTTACATGAAATGGTGTATAATGATGCCAATTTTACCACAGGCTAATTGACATAAACAAAAGTTAAGTTCCTCGGGCATCTCATCACTGTTATAACAAGGACAGAATTCGAGGACCTGCTATACAGTTCATTTCCTTACCGATCCATGCTCACCATTCCAATGTACGTAGTCCATAAGACAACTGCTACTCTAAGAATGGTTTTCAGAGTTTAGCAGCATGCTGTCACATGACCTTCTTTTCTGGCTGTTAATGAAGGTGCCAAGGAAGTAGAGGCTGCCCTGAAGCATAAGGAGGGGGATGTCCTGGGGTCCTGGGCGTGGAGAAGTGCACCCAAAGGATCCTGGTAGCCCAAGCTCAGAGCACAGTCAAGAGGAGCTAAAGGCCAGATGCTGGCTGAGAAGGTCTGTGGAGAAGCGGAAACACACTTCCTACTCTTCTAAAAGCCACCACTTTGGCTTAGCTTTATTATTTACTTAAAGGAATATCTGCTTCCTGAAGTAGAAAAATGCATAAGTTACAAGAAGCACAAATTGTAACAAATTTCCATTTTATTAATGGAAAGTCAGTTGCTGCTCCAAGCCACACATTGGGCACAGGAACTAAAAACAGAAGCACCAAGGACCTGATTCGAGGCTAATCCAGGAAACCTTTTCCCTCTGAAGCAAGTCAAACTCAACTATGCAAGTGAAAGCAAACTTCCCCTAATTACCTGACTGCTAGGAATATAACTGACCACTCAAGTTTCAGCATCTCACATATAGGTAGCCATTTATAGGTGACAGCACTTTCACAGCAGCACCTCATCTCATCTTAGCAGCCACACTTCGAGAGGGGAGCAGCCACTGCTGTTCCTCATTTCACAGCTGAGGACGCCTCTCTGATGGAAAAGCAGATTCAAGAGGTAAAGTGAGTAGGCCGAGGTCAGAGGGCCAGGGTGACAAGGCAGTGAACTTCTGACTGGACCACAGATTCAGAGCGTCTTAAGCCACAAACGCACACTCAAGAGCACCCCAGGAGCTTACACTTGATAACTCAGACACACCCGTAACTAGTAACGAAAAACGATTTTTTACAAAACAAAGCCAGTAAAACAAATTAGTATTTTCCTAACCAACCAGCAACTATCACATCCAAAATAAATTCATAAGGCAAGTTTTAGTTTCTGAAATATACTAACTTATACTTACATCTTTAAGAATACTTACATTAAAATTCTTTACCAAAAAATGTGTGAGGCCATGATTTCAGTTGAAAATGAGATAGAAAAAGCAAATTTAATGATACACATTTGACAGAGATCTCCAAAATGGGTTCTCTGTTAGCTTCTGAAATAATTCCTTTTTAAAACTATCAGGACCATCTAATAAATTTAAAAGACCATTTCCCAAGGAGCTAAGTGAAAGGTTTTTTTCATGCAAAACTCATTGGAAATTTACATTTGCTATCTACAAAAGTGCTGCAAACTTGGCCTGAAACGAAAAGGATGTTAAGGGCAATTCACACGTACAATTAAGGAAAAGCAGAATGGTAAACTAGAAACGGATAAAAGCAAAAATAATGGAGAACCAGCATATCAGAAACAAAACTGGCACGTGCTTTTCTTATTATTTTGGTAGGGACCCTAATAAAGCTGTAGTATTCTCAATCACCTCAGAATACCTTGACAAACATGGTAGACTGCTGTTCTTTTAAATCAGGCCACAAATGTTTTCACTACCTACTACCCTAGGGGAGCTTCTTTCCATGGCACCAAAGCTCCAAGGACATAGTCTTGATGCCCTTAATAACTCTGGAGTCTAGAATACCTTAAGTAGAGGGTGAAGAGCCCAAGTCAGACCCTGGGATATTTTCGGCTTCTTATCAATCTTCCCCCAAAGAAGTTTCAGAAGCCCATTCCTTTGTTGTACGTTCCACCATCTGACATCTGGCAAAGATACTGCAGTATTTTTCTCTCCATTTCTAAACTACTGTCTGCTGTACAAAATAGCCTAGATCATCAGCGATCCTTTGAGGGGGACAAAAACCAAGCTTCAGGAGTCTGTTGTGCTTGCCCAAAGAAGGATACTTACTGCCTCTTAGCGTAGTTTAAACATAGGAAGAAACTGCCTCTCTGGAGAAAAGGGGCACTTCTCCTCCGGAATGCAACACCAAGTGCCGGACAAATATGGGACAAATATGGGGTCAGGAACTGCAGTGGAGGCCCGAAGGTGAGAACAGGGCACACCCTAGAAAGGGCTGGGGTCCCCCGTACCTTTTCCGCGAGGCCCGGAGCTGCCGGCGCTGCTGCTCCCCCCGGCGCCCGACGAGTCCTTCCTGAGCCTTTTGCTCTGCGGCCTCACGCTGGACCGGAGGAAGTGGTGCTGGTCCTGGGGGCAGGCGGGCGGCGGGGACGGAGCCT